TCAGCGCGCTCTTTCCCGTTCTTCGCTTGCCCTCGTCTGCACCCTCTACAAAGCCTTCATCTCCGCCTCAAATTGGAAGTAGCGCCCGGCAGACCACGTAGCCCTTGCGCTGCTGCCGTGTCGCAGTGGCGCGCGCGCGCCGATTGCATACTGTGCATGTGTCGGCATTGTGATCTGGTGCAGAGAAGAACAGCTTCTCGAGATACTCGCCCCGAATCTGTGGGAAAGGCGCCTCGGCGGGTGCTGTCGCTCTGGGGGCAGCGACGGGTTTTGACGGGCCTGGCGCTTGCCGGGAACGAGGTCCGGGAGAGGTGACGCGTGGTATCGCAGCAGGATCTCGCGGATATGAAGATGGTGGAATGAGTGCAGCCAGCCTTCGTACGGGAGAAGGCGCCACATGATTCTCCTTCGCAGTGCAGTCAGAACCCCTGCTCCTTGGACGAGATGGAGGTACGTCGTCCTCTGAGCCATCGCTGTCGGTGTGGTAACCTCTTGCTTGCCCGGTAGCAAGGGTTGGGTCACCGCTCAAAATCAATGAAGCAGACCGAGAACGTTCGTGGCGGCGTTCAGAGACTTCCTCAGAAATGCGAGTGACCTCTGCTGACTCCAACCAAGGCCGTGCGCTCGTGCTAGTGGCTGGCGGCGGAGAACCAAGTGTAGCGCGATCGGTGCGGTCAGAGAGACGAGGTCGACGGCGGTGTGGAGATGGCCGGGGGGAAGGCGTGGAACGACCATCAGATGAATCGTCGCCGGAGTTAAACCCACCGTCAACCAAGTGCTCTTCATGCCGTCGTTCCTGCTTCTCGGCCACGTCCGGCTCCTCCGCATCGTCTTCTGTCAGAGAACGAGAATGTGAGTTCTCCAGCGAGCGAGACCGCTCCATAGACTGCTCCCTTGCTTCCTTCCGCTCTTTCAAACCCTCTTCGACGACGCCGCGCAAGACCTCCACCTCGCCCGCAAGGCGTTCGACTTCCTGGCGCAGTTGGTTGATCTCGTGGCTCTTCTCTTTGAGAGCACGGACATCCGAATCTCGCAATTCCCGGAGTTCCTCCAGTAAGCGAGAGTGGTCAGAAAGCTCGGCGGTCAGGCGAGTCAAATGTGATCGTAGAGTAGTTATCAAAGTCTCTAGGGCTGCCCGCTATCATCAGCATCTTGGAAAGCTTCCAGGACGGAGTTCAAACCTTTCTTCTCTTCTACTGCCTCCTTGTACCTCCGAATATCTTCGTAAGTCTCCAGAGGTTCAACTGGTTTTGGAGCCTTTGTGCGAATTCCGCGAGTCATCTTCTCCTGCGGGATTTGGACATCTGGCTCTTCCCGCCCAAGGATCCTTGTGCGTTCTCTAGTTACCTCCTTCTTACATTCCTCAAGTTCCAACTCCAGCTCGCGGACGCGCCTACGCGAAATGCTATTTTCCGTTTCTAGATGGGAAATCTTAGATTGAACGATGCTCAGGGTGGCCGCAAGTCGCACTACAAACGCATCAGTCTCTCTGAAGCACCCGAAAACCATGCACTAACCATCAATCTCGCGATCCTCCTTTCCGTTATAGCCTTGATATTCCATGCCCAACTTCATCGGGGATCCAACTGCGCTTGTGATGCCGGTCACGTCGGGAAGGTAGAGCTTTCCATTCTTATATGGGGTCCGCACGGCTGCACCGCGCGGTACAGAAGTATGAGTGGGCCTCTGCTCCTGCAAATCGCTCATGACATTCTTTAGCGACATTTTCGCGTTCTTCGCGTTCTTGCGGTCTCGCATAGTGCTCTGCGCTATGGCACCTTGGTGTGATTCGAATTCTTTGGCTAGCCCACGTGCTACATTCACAAATTTCGCATTCGTGTTCTCGTCGCCTGGTGGAGTAGGAGGCAAGATGTTCACTTCGGGCTCCAGCGGTGCATACGAGAGCGACTGATGTACGTAAGATCCTCGACTACGCGACCTTGGAGTTGGGACGTTATCTTCAGGGTCGCTCTCGATAGTGGCAACCTGGCGACGCGTAAGTGGTATCTTTGTTTGGCGGGCAATTGCAGAACGACCCTTGCAAGGCGCAGGTGCGTGGATGGCTGGCGATTGCGGACGGCGGGGTCGTTTGGGAGAGAATGCGACGTGACTCAAAGCATCAGAGAGTTTAGGGCGTGGTGACAGGGGAGTGTTGGGGCGCGACGAGCTGGAAGCGGTGCTGGGAGAACGAATGCTAGCTGTAGGGATAGGGGCACAACCCGCTTGAAAAACTTCATCAAGCTCGGCGCTGTCGTCAACAACGAGTGGATCGTTGAAATCTACTGTGGCGGATGCCTGCGCGTATGACGACATGTAAGATGGGAAGCAGGCAGTGCCTCACGGGCTGTGCAATGTTCCCAAGGCTCTATGATAACTATGAGGAAGGACGCACGAGATGTCTGGAACGCGTTGAGTTGGGATCGAGAGCGGAGAAATTGGCGTTGAAGCCCGCGATTATGCCCGTGAGAGGGCGATCAGGATCATACTCTGCCCCACTTATGCTGACGTCCCGACGAGTCCCCCTACCTGCAAGCCCTGCGCTGAGAGTCAGCGCACTTGCGTGGTGTGCAGCGGTCGATATAGTTCTGTTTCCGTACGGGCTAACACCGTTCTCGTCGTCACCCGTACGGTACGACCAGGGGTGGTACTGGCTCTCTTCTTCTGGGTCGAATTGATCTCGGGACATGTGGTCGAACGAAGCAAAGCCTCCGAACGGTCCGGGGCCTGGGTTTCGTCTGGGATACTCAACGTCTGAGTCGCTAGGTGTGGATGAAAGATGCAGAGAAAGATCGGTGTGTTGGAGGTTCTGTTCAAGCTGGATGCGATTTTGCTCGAGTTCGTCGCCTCGGATGCTGAACTCGAGCGACCCGGACCGTACAGACATAAATCAGGTGTCACAGAGCGCGTTTGGTGTACGGCAGTAAAGAAAGAGCGGAAAATAGAGCGGAGGTGGCTGGCGGGACGAACCAAGTCGCGAAACTCGCTCAACGCTGAACAAGGGTATTTATCACGTGACAGTCACGTAGCGGCCACAGCACCTGTTTCTCCTGTTGTTCCAGCCATGTCGTCCAGCGAGGAATCGTTCTCAGAGGGAGAGCTCTCAGATGACCTCGGATATGGCTATGGCACCTTCGCTACAACGTCTTTCGACCAGTACTTCACACGGAACCACAAGTCTACGCGCACCTCCAAGAACACCTTCTCCAGCCTCTTGGCACCCCTCACTGCCGGGCAATACACCTCTGCTATCGAGCAATCCACATGCAAGAATGAAATTCAAGTCCCGTGGCTGGGAACCGGACGCGACTTATTATTCTCTCGCCTCCTGGTGCAACTTGAGGAAGGCTTCAGTCTGCTGCTCTATGGCGCGGGCTCCAAGCGAGAAGTCCTCAATGCCCTCGCGAAACGGATCAATAGGAGACGCAGGGACGTCATTGTCGTCAACGCCTTCAATCCTGGCTTTGCGATAAAGGATCTCCTCGCGTCTATCGAGAGCATTCCGACCTTGCAGGAGAGCGAAATAACTCAGGCCTCAGGGTCTGGCATCGAAGCACAGACGCGACGAATATACAGATCCTTTGCGTCTTCAGAGCAGAAGCTCTACCTCGTCATCCACAACATCGATGCACTAGCTATGCGCAAGCCCCAAGCGCAGTCATGCCTGTCCGTCCTCGCGAGCAACCCCCGAATACATATCGTCGCGTCGGCGGACAGCATCGCCTTCCCTCATCTGTGGTCCTTGGCGGACATCTTCTCTCATAAACCCGCGGTAGAAAACGACGGCCCAGTGATTGCAATGTCTAAGGGCTACTCTTGGCTGTTCCACGACGTCACCACCCTGTTACCCTACGATTTCGAAACCGCCCATGCCGATCGCTCGTCCATCAAGGGTGCTTCGCAAGCTGCCTCCTCTCGTGGACAGAAAGACCTGCCGGGTACGACCGCGACGGGCCTCATGACTGAAACTGCGGCACGCCACATCCTCGCATCCGTCACCCAAAAAGCTAAGAAACTGTTCGCTCTGCTCGGCACGAGGCAGCTCGAGAATACAGCCGAGGCGGAGGCTAGCAGCGGTGGAAACGCACAACAAGACCCGCTGCAGATCGCGTTCGACTACAGCATGCTCTTTAACGTTGCCCGCGAGAACTTCGTCGCGACGAACGATACGGCGATGCGTGCCCTCATGGCAGAATTCAAGGACCATGGGCTGATGGCGTCAGTCACCCAGACTGCTGGGGGAGAAGCGGTGTGGATATCTCTCAGGAAGGACGCGTTGACCAAGCTTGTACATGAGGTTTCAGAGTGATCCAAATGGACCGAAATTCGATCCGGGACAGCATCCGCTACACTAACACGTCATCGTCCTGCCCCTTCTGCCTCACCCGCTCCTCTGGAATCGCAGCCGTTCTTCATCAGAGAAAATCCCTGGGGACAATTAGGATATAACGTGGGCTAACTAGGTGTTGAAGAAACATAAGTGAGATTAAATCCATCATACATTAGTCTGGATCGGACTAAGTTGTTCATGATCTCCTTAGGCGTAGGCAAAATTATGTCTTGGGCAAATTAGATGGCATTACGCATGTATAGGTACATAGCTAATATCACAGGGCGTACACATTGTACAGTGCGAGTAGTAGCATTGGGGCTGCACAACCTATGTCGCCATTGTCACACATCCTGCAACAAGGCTACACTCACCAGGTTACTAAGTCTTAATAACGGAGCCGGGGCTGGCTAAAGATCTGCACGAGTCAGGTCAATCTGTTCTGTTGGTCCAGGTACCCGCTGATCAGCTGTTCTGAAGGCGGGCTTCAACCCGCGAGTTACCGTGACTCGCAGATCAGGTCGGCGGTTACTCACATACGTCAGGCAGCATGGCAGAGCGGCTGCGGTGATCACGCCTTCCACACAGCTTGCGCTGTCGCAAGAGAAGGCAGATGCTACGTGGTTCGTTGTGCTTGGTGTGCCCTGCGTCAGCGTCCTACTCTTCTTCATCGGTGTCGCAAACAGGGCTTGCAGATATTGAAGCTCGGCAAGGGATCGTAATGCCATGGGATGGCTTAGGCAGCTTGATACGCTCGCGCACAGATGAACGTTGCAGCTCGATAAAATCGATTAAAAGTTGCTTCATGCGCCTCCTTGAGCACGTCAACTACGCAGTGCGCTTCCCAGAGGCTTGCGAGCTTGAGCGTGTAAGCCTAGGCTTTCATCTGGTCGCCCAGGGTCACCCAGAGTGTGTCCCATCTTAGAAAGAACGCACAGGTGCGCGCATGCGGTCAGGTCAGCGCGCGGATTGAACTAGAGCACGCACTTCTCGTTTAAAAACGCTAGCGGCAAGCCTATATCATACTGGCGGACGACGCGGTATACGCTAGTAGCGCTCAAGTTAGTGCGAAAGATGGTCGAAAGGTCGTGAAGGATGAGTTTGTATCGCACGGCTTCCTGTGGTATGAGGCAACAATATTTGTTCACTCTTATCCCTGTAGTTATTGAGGCCGTGATGCGGTATCGACGCCAGGATGCGTCTTCAACGCAACTTGAATGTTCATCGGGTTTGTCATTCCGCCGACGCCGATACACTCCTTCTGTGCAACTGGGAGGAGCTCTAGAGTGCGCCCGGCGTGGCCACTTAGGTGTTGTGACATCGAGTCGACTTGATCCTCTTGCACATGAAGGCACTCCGACAGCGCTGACGTTCACCTAAGCGATGCTTGTCGTAGTGTTGTTCGGAAGCGCGGTCGTCAGATGAGATATTATTTATCTCATCCGTATTGACTGTAGAACTATTTGCTTACTTCACGCTCGAGAGCCTCGTCCTCGTTGTGATAATGCTTCTTCTTGCCATGAGCGACACCATCAGGAAACTAGAACATTGCTGCGGACCGTTACAAAGCGTACGTACAAAGTGTAGCGAGATAGCCTAGTCCCTGCCTCGTCGCGGTAGGTACTTCAGTCAGTGAGCACCGTACTGTCTCGAAGCAGTGTGTACTTCAGTTAAGCATCTTCGTACTTCTGCGGTACTTGCTGCATACATGTTGGTAGAAGCTCGGATATCTTGAATAGCACGAGTCGAAGGTACCGGTATCGTACTCATCGAGGAGCTCCCAAGCGTCTGCATCGCGAATTGATGGGTAGTGTAGTACGCTAAAACCATCTTTCGAGGACGCTGAAGAAGTACGAAAGTGAGCGAGGTTCGCGCGAGTCGAATTCGGGTACACCGGGCTCGCCGCGGAAAGGCATAAAGATTGTGGGTTGCGCCATGGGGACTTCTAGTGCGTGCGAGGCATGCGCGGGCGGTTCGATATGTGTACGCGTGGAGTGCTGGGCCGGAATCGGATGAAACCCGCCTCACTGGGGCAGCTAAAATGATGCGCTGGTGTGCACTCAGACCCTAGGGGGCCAACCTAAGATAATGGAAATAAGATAAAATAAAATGATAGAGGTGGTGAGGGAGATCTGAGAGCACGCGAGAGCTCGGAAGGCAGTCGCGAGGTGGCTTCGGGGACCGGCGAAGGCGCCGCACACTGCGCGGGAGTGCGGGAATGCAGTCGCGGACTCAGAGCATAGTATAAACGCAGGGGGAAAACTCGTCGCATGTACTCTATCTGCCTCGAGTACGCTACTGGTACATGCAATATATACTACTGAATTAAAGGTACAGAAAAGAAAAAGAAAAACACAAAACAGATGAGTGTATCATGTCCATGTGCCAAGGAGGACGGCGGTATGCTCGGATACAACAGGTGGGAGTCGGGGGTGCGGAGTTGTAGCGATACTTGTGGCGGTGTGGCAGTTGCTGGGGCTTCGGGTACCTGGTGCGGACGGTCGCGCGAGGGCACTTATTACACGCGCAGGGCGCCGCGGGGTGCGTCAGACTACAGCTAGATACCACCGACGATAAACGCACCTGACAGTGGGACACTCTACATGTTCTTCTGATTTAGAGCTGGGCCACCTTCAGCCCATGCCCAGTGCGCTGGATGAGGGAGCGCCCCAGGATTTGCGTTTCGACTAAGCTCTTGGCACTGATGAGGTTTTTCGGTGTGTATCCTGTCCCACGGGCTGTCGTATAGATCGCAGAGAAGGTTCCATTGTACCTCATCCTCCTCGCAGACCGGACCAAGGAACTTTGAAGATATTCCGGCTACCCAGAAGTCATATGCCATGTGCGAAGATGCCTGTTTACCGCAAGTGAATTGCACAAACCATCGATATCATTACTGCAATTTGCGACTCACCACCTGTTCACTGTGTAGTGTCTTGTGTCGTGTATGAGACCGAGTAGGCGCCGAAGTGCTGGCTGGGTGAACAGTCGCAATCGCGTCCGGTATTGCACTTGCTGTCATGTGCCGCCGCCGTGTACTTACTCGAGTCGCAATCGAGTCCGGAGTTGCAGCTACCGTCTTGCGCCGTGTACGGGATTGGATGGGTGCCGAGATGCTGTCTGACTGAACAGTCGCAATTGTGTCTGGGGTTGCATCTGATATCTTGCGTTTACGAGAGCCGGTGGATGTTAAGATACTATCGGCCTGAGAGTGGGTAATCACAGATGTCTTAGCATCATAGAAAGGTCCGACAAGGAAAGAAGGCTGCTTCGCAGCTAGAGAGAACACGATCCTGACCACGGGCATTGTGACGTCCTGGTCAAAAATTCCCAGTTCTTGAGGGTCCATGGCATCGAAAAGTCTGACATTTGGATTAGACCCATAGCTCTTGTCGAGTTTCACCTGTATCAGAATTGCACTGATTGCAGCGGGAGAGGCAGTATCTCCTCGTAGAAGAAAGGGGATTATGAAGTCAACGCCGGGGAAGCTGTTGGCGCATTTGATCCCAGCACCTCGCGCCATGCAGGCGAACAGATGCCACTGCGATACTACCTTCTGGCTCTTGACGGACATCCAGTGGGTGAAATGCATCGAGCTTTGAGCAAATGTGGTACGAAGATTGATAGCGTCGGCAGCTGAGGAAAACAATGTGTTTGGTGGCGGTGCCGCTGGCGATCTTCCGTATTGACAAGGTAGCACGTCTCGAGTTGTTGAGGGTAACAGTGCCTCGAGAAAGTCTGTGACACGGACTACACCGGCAGCAGGTGTAGGCAAGGCCCTAGCCTTGTCCATTGCCATCAGAAGGAGTAAACCAGCTATAGCTTCACCTCTCTCCCCTCGATGCACGGCAAGGTGATCGAGCTGTTCGAAAAGAGCAAGCGGAGGGCGGAAGGCAGGGTCACGCATCACTAGCTGTGCGCCCAAAGCCAGAATCGGCTCGGATGGTGTCTCAGTTACGATACCTGCACGGTCGTTGTGGGTGCGCAAGAGTATCCGCAAATGTTTTTCAACTTGTTCGACTTCTTCGGAATGGAGGCTGGTGGGCATCGGTGTGAAGTTTAGGGGAAGCCGTGCGGAGAGGCAAGCAAATTTTTGCTGCTTGCTGAGGTTCTTGACATCGGCAGGCCACGATCCATTTAGAAGCTTCTCTGCCGCAAACCCCACGATGCCCCTCTTGACCTCGTCATTACCAGCAAGGTATCGTGTGGCAAAACTTCAGCAATGAGGAACATTAGCAAGCCGTGATTCTCCATTAGAGTTGTGTCTCACAGAGGACGTCCCAAGTGGACAGCATAGTCTATACCTGTTAATTCAGTTATCTCCATGCCGTCAGTAGCGATTTTCATGAACTGATCAAACCCCATGTGAATGAATGGTGGGATGGTACGAAGCTGTCCAAGTTGTAAGCGTCTTGATGGATCATCTTCTTGCCTAACCGGAGAAAATTGGAATATTTCGCCAGTTGTGGAGGCAAAGACGGTGAAGATGGAATACAGGCGTATCGTGCGTAATGCTCTCCTCAATTCTCCAAAGTATGAGTACACAGTTTCATTCTGCATACCCCGCATGGTGGTAAGTCGATGGGCTTCATCAAATGAGAGCATTAGGAGCACTTTGTGCCGCTGTGGCAACAGACCGCCGCGGTCTGGTTTGCTGCGGTTTGGTTTGCTGCGGTTTCCAAATGCGCCTTGGGCTGGCGTTGGGGAAATATCACAGCCAAGACTCAGCAAAAAGTCTTCTAGACTTTTTGCTGCGCTGTGGAGGTCACGGAGTGACCCAGCTTATCGTGATATTCATATTTTAGTAAGTGGATTTTTGGCTCTACATCCATATATAAAATGATACTTGCCAGGAAGGTGCCCACGGCTGGGTGGTGAAATATCACACTCCATGTCGTTCTCCTGGTCAACAGCAGGAGGATGGTTGTCTTCCACAGATGTCGATAGCAAGGTAGAACAGCGAGTATCCAACTAAAGACAAGCATGAGTACTAATATCACCATTATCTCATTGATACCTACATCCTTGGCATCTGCAACCACCTTGTGGTAGAAGGACTGACGTCTGCTCCTATGCTGGGGTTCATCCACTGTGCTGATTTCATACAGAGCAGTGATAACTCCGTTGTAATCTGTCGCGGCGGAGGCTTCATGCAGTTGAGTGTGCAGGTTGCGGAAAAGTGAAGTCAAAAACGCCACACAGCGGCTGTACGCTGCTTGCTGAGAGGTGGGAACAATGTCGAAATAATTTCGGACATCGATATCTGCTGGTGGATAGCCTGAAGTGCAACTAATTAATATGTACCATATAAAGATATCATGACAATTACCAACCTGTGGATTCCTTCTCTCGAACAATAAACGATACATGAGCGACAAGCTTGCCGACCTCATGTAGCATCCTGCTTTTGCCTGTTCCGGAGGAGTTGATCACCGAAAGATAGCGTGCGTATTGATCCCGGCCATCAATGAATGTGTCGATATACTCCAGGAAAGCTTTTGGTGCCGTTCCTTGGTAGTCTGCGGTCCATGCCTGGGCAGTCGCTTAAAACAGAGGAAGGTGAATTATTTGACTGTACATTCTACGACGATTATAGAAATAGCCTACCTGCTTGTGAGTCTCTTTCCGAAACCATCACACCCGAGCGCTCTGGGCCACGGTGACTCTTTCCATATTGCGGGTACAAAATCGATGACATCAAGCGCATTCCTACGTGCCGCTTAGAATATCAGACACTACAGAGGAAACTGGACTTACGTAGATCGCGAAATTTACTGAAACATCTGACTTGATACCCATCCCTTAACGTGCCCCATAATTCCCGTAGCTGAAGTTCTTCAAGTTCGCCGATCCACTTTAGCTTGGTGCTAACTTGAACGGGCCATACATCCTTGTCGCAGCCAAAAAGGTAACACCGTACTAAGTCTGACTGACTGACGTCTTCGCTTTTTTTCAGTGCTTGAAACAGCCCCTCATTGCGCTTGTCGTTCAGATAATCCAACAAGTCGTTGTTGTACATAGTTTGAATACCTGTCCGAGTCAGATGTATCTGAGCTACCAGCCTGAGGCCGCTGCGGCCAGTGCTATATGTATGGATACCCACTTTCTAGTAATCCAGGTGCAGATAAGCCTGGGGCATTATGATGACAAGGGTGTATGAGCAAATAGGCAACATTGCAGACTCACGTTCACAAAAACCGGAATAGTCGCATGTTTCCCTGGCGTTCTTGAACCAATCTACCACGCTCCCGTTTTTTGCCAAGCCCAGCGATATCCATGGCAGATTGTAGTCCGACGCTTGAAAGGGCGAGCCGACGTGTTCGAAGACCGTTTGGAATGTGGTCGATAAATTCGCCGGCATGGTGTTCCAGCTGTTCAGCCGTATAGGGAGGCCATCATCACTTAACTTCTGATGGATTTTTTTGTTCAAATCCATGACGTTGAGCTGTGTGGCTGTGGCGGTTCGGGGGAACGAGGTGGGGAAGGGGATAGGTAACGACCTTCGTCCAACCCCTTTGCCGCCGGGCGTCTCGTGAATTTGGTCTACCGATCGTTGAGTCCGCTCACAGCCATGGGACACTAGCTGCTATCGAGGTCGAAAATTCCATAGTAAGTTCAGAACATTTCCATAGCTTACAAGGTTCCTGCGACAACAACGACACAGTAGCACACAACGAAGCGCGGCCCTCCAGAAAGCTGAGAGCCGAGTCAAGGCCAGCAGATTTCTTGCCCAACGACTGTCTGTGCACTAACGTCAGAGGTTTGTGACGCGAACACTCTTTCGGTCTGTGAGAAATTTATATTAACGGTTGCGCCTACGAAGGGATCATTATGAGGTCAGAATGAAGCAAAATGCTTCCTAGTAAATGTAGGGGACAATGCGGTACGAAACCAGCTGCTTATATTTATGCCAGTCTTCGCCGTATCTGCAATCCATCGTCAGTAAATTATCTTCCACAAATGTGTTTCCAGCTTACTTCTTCTCGCAGTTCTCGTCGTCCCGATATTGGCGGTGCATCAACAGAACCAGGAAATAAGAGACATAGAAGTATGTGACCGGAGTCTCAAACCCGGTCGGAAGAGACCATGCAAGAGCCATCAAGAGATCGCCACTAAGAGAGACAATATAAGACTGCGAGTTACATATGGACTGAAAACTTTAAATAACGCACAAGTAGTTAGGATGGCGACACATGCCCCACCATCCAGAGATGAGCAGCTTCGTGCCACGCTTCGTATCCATAGTCTTGAGGTCTGCAGCAGCCAGTCAGATGCATCCGTCGCAAAAGCATAGTCGCGCACTCCTGGGGTTCTTGCCATTGCGGAAGTCGTTCTTTTCGCCGTTAGCACCACGGAAGATCCAGTAGCCAGTG